TCTTCTCAATATCTCCGATTAGAGGCTCGAGCCAAAAATCAGCTCCACCAGTCTTTCTCAAAAGGCTATGATTGGCAGGAATTTCAAGGGTAACACTTCTCATAGCCATGCCTCTGCTGTTAGAACCCGCCTCTGTATGCTGAACAGAGGGAGGAGGAGCAATGGAAGGAGAAGTAGTAGAAGAGGTAAAAACAATAGGAGTTGTGGAAGTCAAAAGAGGGACAGTAGGAGTAGATAGGGGAACCAAAACAGGTAAGGATACATGAGTCGATAAAATAGGCAAATAAGTACTCATGGTTGTCAAAGGAATAGAAGGAATAGAAGAAATGAGAATAGAAGAAGAGAGGGGAGTTTCATCAAGAACTGGTCCAACTCCCCACTCTCAAAACCACTAACAAAGAGACGTCGAATTGATTCATTAGAGCCTCTTGGGGTAGTATCCTAATCAGAAAGGATTTAAACAGGCTCGGAGATAGAGGCTCGAGCAGGAGAATCTTCAACTTCATCTCCATCAATGATGCGCCTCTTGGTTCTCGGCCTAGCTATCAAAGAGGTATTCTCTTCTTCTTCATTCTCAGAACTTTCTTCTACAACTTTTCTTTTTGGTAGCGTGGCCCGAGTCTTTTCCAAATCAAGTAAAGCGGTTGAAGACGCTCGAATGGCAACGGCTACCTCAGCTGTCATACCCTTGATACCAAATCCTGATAAAAAGAGGGATAAAGAATTAAAATAAGAAAGAATTCAATATACGGCAAAGCATAAGGAAATATATACCATGGGTCTTCACTTTCCAACCATTCAAAAGAGAAATTGATTTCCAAGTTCTCGCCTCCATAGTCGCAATCTTCAAAATTGAATCTACCCAACCACGAAAGTTAGGAATGTGTTCCACATCTCCCATGGTTGCTACAAAAAGAAAACCAAAAAGAGACGAGATTAGAAAAGAAATCAAAATGCTTAAAAATAGATACGGTAAGAAAAAGAAATACTTACGTGCAAAATTCTACTTCTCAGGGAAGGGAATGTTTGTTTCACCCAACAAATTCACCGTACGTACAACAACGTAACGACAATACCACCCTCGATCCTTGTCATCTTCGGGGTTTACCAAAACCTTCTTGCTTCTTACAGTCAAGGTAAAAACTCCATGGCGGAATAATTTGGGATGGTATAGGTGAATAAGATGGGAAAAGGTAAAATCAACATTGGCTTTGGTAGACAAATACCTTAAGTAAGCCACAACTCTCCAAAGAGGAGGACCTACTTGTGCTAAGCAAATTTACAAAATTCAAGTATAACTGGGTCGATGGCAGGATTAAATCCCAAAGTAAAGGGATAAGTATAAACGAAAGAGAATCCAATTCTGAAAGAAGAAATTCTCTGGTTTGGGGTAGGAATTATCATACGAAGATTATCTTTCCAATTACAATCTTTCCTAACAGTAGGAATTACAAGTTCAGTTATTAAAGAAGGATAGGTATCAACTTTTTCTAAATTTTTAACTTGTTCTTGAAGAGACCTTCTATCATTCCCAAAAGATAAATCATTAGGCACAATTTCTTCAACTAAAGGTTCCTGAGTAGGTTCAGAAAGTTCTTTACCTTTAGAAGAAGGGGTCTTTGGGATAGAACTCCCAATACCAGAAGAAGAAGAAACAGAACCAGATAAACCACCACGAGTGGACCCTAGGCTCAAGCTCCGAAGCCTACCTCCTCTGCCTCTCCTATGTCTTACGGGGGCATTGGGGAAGTGATCTAGAATTGAAACTTTTCTAGGGTTAGGGTTTGGAGATGACATTGTTGAAGAAGGATGAACTAAAGGGGAGAGAAAGCAAAAGTAAGTAAGAAATTGCTTGTTGAAGATCTATGAAGAAGAAGGCAAAAGAAAGAGGGTTAAAAATGTTTATAATGACAACCGTCAAACTTAGAAGTGCAATGATGGAAAGCCTATAATAAAGGCAACTATCACTTCGTGAATAGTGAGAATGAAGAAGTCTTGAAAAAAGGGCGTAGAATTGCAGAACCAATCAAAAAGTGACACGTGTGTAGAGCATTAAATAAAAGGTGACACGTATGCAAAACATTAATTAGAAGGGACAATTGAAGCGTCAGTACTGTCATAGTATTGATTACGGCAAAAATTTCCTTTTTGTGAAGATCCACTTCCCAAATATTTAATTGATAAATAAATGGAAAGTGGGGGGACTATCTGTATTGGGAAAAAATTGAATTTACATTGAAGGTGACGTGGCATGATACGTGGACTGGTCAAATGGTCAAAACATGATGATCAGTTAAGAGGTACGAGTGAAAGCAGATACGGGGAAAGGAAAGCTAAATAGGCACGAGAGGCAATTCAAATAAATACAAGCCTCGTACCTATTTGGGTCATTCAAAGCCAAGAGATCAGAAGGCATTAAAGACGTGGATATGATGACGGAAAGGAGTCCAAATTCAATATTAAATACCCAATACGTTAGAGAATTGGTATTAAATAGGAATGATTGTGTAACGTCTTATTTAATATCATTTATTGCTCATAATTGTCTCATTAAGACTAAGGTATTACACCTTCTCCTAGAATCAACTATAAAAGGAGAAAGACTCAACATATGTAAGGACACGAAACACTATTGAGATCTCACTGAAATACAAAACTATTTATTGCTTTATCATCGTTCTCAAAAATCTTTTATTATTTTCGTCTCCTGATTATCAATAACCCGAATTCCTCTTTATTTTTAGCTTTGACCAAAGACTCAGATTTTTGGTTAAACAAAAAATATATCTCAAGATAATATGTTGGAATTGACAAAGGTCAATTGCAACTGTATTAGTTTGATTTCATTAACTAGCATCTCCATGTAGTTCTTAATTGTGCATTTTATCGTGGGTGACCAAAATATGTAACCAGTTCAACTAATAAACCAATTGATAATTTTTTTTTTTTTTAAAAAATAATCTGAAATTAGCACAATTTAGCGTGGTGAGGAAGACAAAAACTGCGAGAGACGAAACTTGGCTTCTCAAGAATACACAAGAACAGTACAGATTGACAAAATGTGGCACGCGGACTGAACTTTGACGTAGAAATTATATCAGGTAGCTACTTTAAAGGACCGCTATTTAAAAATTAGCCGATATATCTTGAATTCTAATTATTCAGTTCAAATTTTCGGGACAAAAATATTCTAAACTGTCTTAAAGTTAAGATTTTTAGTTTAGAATTTCAGGACAAAATAAGTACTGACTAATCTTTAAATAGCATCCCTGAGAATGGCTATATGTGCACTTGCCCCAACTTTGACTGGAATAATCAATTGTCTACTCGGCCAAAGTGTAAAATGGACTAATATTTCGAACTCAAGGAAAAACTCTGACAATGAAGAATTCTTACATTACTAGAGGCAATTGGAATTGGTTAGAGGTGCAAAATGCAAAGACTCCAGTTATAAACTACCCACTATCTAAATAACTGGAATTGATGGTCAATGACAATAAGGAAGAGAAGAGGCCGCTCGGTGCACTAAGCTCCCATCATACGCAAAGTTCGAGGAAGAGCCGGACCACAAGAGTCTATCGTATGCAGCCTTACTGCAAGATAAAGAAGAGAAGATGCACATTAATTTCCATAGAAAGCTTCAGCACACGCCTCACCATGCTGCTGCACAACACGCAAGGCCTTGAGACGCTTAACAACTTCTTTCATTTCTGGCCTTTTCTGTTGTTTATATTCTATACACTGCATTGCAAGTTCTGTAATTTTAGGTCCATCACGAGGATCAAAGCCTGGATCAGCCTCAAGACTTTGGTGGACAAGTGAACACCCGCGCTTGTATTCTCTTCTTGTAATCTGAAGTTCAAAGCCTGGATCAGCCTCAAGACTTTGGTGGACAGGTGAACACTTGCGCTTGTACTCTCTCACGCCCCACAAACCGACATGTGTGTTTCTAGCGTTTTTCCAATCAACAACTCTTTTGCTCATAAGACTTAGGAGAACAATTCCAAAAGCATAAACGTCAGATTTGGGTGACCACTTAACTACAATACATTTTACATAAATGGTCAGTGCCCACAATAAGACAGAAGAAAAGGAATTACAAAATGGACTCTTACTGCTCAACAAAGCATTGCATTTTCTATTAGCAGCCCTTCAAAGACTACTACTAGTATAGAGTCAATCCTCCAAAAGGAAAGACATGAAATAGAAACGGTTTCAAAATATTGCATAGCAGACATCTAATAGGAAAACATAATACAGTATTAAATAATACTTTAATTTATTTTTAAAACCGAGAAATCCCACAGTAGGTCACCGTTCTAAATTTGGTGGTTAATGGACTCGTTCCTCTATCCTAGGCTCCACTTAAATACTACGCTTTTCCCTACGGCAAGTTTTGAACCCGTGAAGTGCGGCTAACCCATACATCAGGGATAGTTCCAGCTAATATATTTCTATGTGAAACTCAAGAATATATTTGTTCATAATGTTAAGAAAAAAAAGAAACGAGTGTGAAAAATGGTTCATTCTAAACACAAAACTGATGTAAATCATTTGCCTCTTTTGCATTCTCTTTCCTTCTACGCTCTTCATTTCAAACATAATGTCACCAAATATAGTCAACCCGAGAAGAACAACAGCTCCAAGAGGTTTATTGAGAAATGTGCCAAAAACTTCAAAAGAAGCAAAGTCATGGGACACCTCTAAGAGAAATATTAGCTTCAACATCATTTGACAATGAGCATAACGCTAATTTGCTAGCGCATATTTGGTGGAAACAAAAGAAGAGACTCAGTTGCATACCGCATTCAGCGACGGATGGATCAATGTAGCCACACGTACCAATCCTGAGCTCTTCCTCATTGATTTTAGTATCCAAACCCTCTCCAGCTAACATACCAAACTCAAACAAAATTGTGGTGAAATTCTGGAGAGATGAAAGACAAAATATATATTCAAGTCGAGAATCTTGACAACCAATATTGATGCGAAGTACACCAAGTAAACGACAAAATTTAGTTACAATATTGTATCTGATCAACCGCTATGTGAGCTGGATCAAAGTTGCGAAGCATGTATGACGAATTCCCATCATGCAGATAATTAAGCAAGCTAGCTAATGCAAGGGCAGTCTTAACCCTCTGCAGCCATTTGAAGTCATCTGGACAAGCAAAGCAAAATGTTATTGGAATGTTTGTATCAAAGGACTAGAAATGCCTACAGATTCTTTGCTCAAAGGACTCACTATGGCCTTGGTTTGAACCCAAACATAAGCTTAGACCAAACAGCAGAAAATATATAAGGTTGAATCTGCATAAAAGATGAGTAAATGTGAGAGAAGAAGGCACCTCGAATAATGAAGTTATGCAAGGTGTCCTGTGGATTTAGATCATAAACGATACCCAGAGTTCTCCCCTCGCGACAACATCCAATCACTTTCACTAAGTTGGGATTGCCCCTAAACCTTGGAGCTTGCAAAAATTTCAGTTCATCCTACCAGTACAAGCAATCTTTCAGAGTGAGCATAAACTAAGGAAACAATCGGTTAAGGCAAGGAAGCAAAAGCATGAGCGTCCATATACACATAGAGATAGACACCAACCTTTAATCTTGTCAGTTTGTCATAGCTAACATCAAAATGTCGCATTTCATCAACCATAATCTTGACAGCCACATCCTTGGTAATTTTATCTTGATCAGAACCAATGGACATTTTCCCACGATAGAGCTTCCCAAACTGGGTGAGTCCGATAAGATTCTCTGGAGAAAATTGACGCGTAAACAGATTCAGGTCCTCCCAACTGAGATCAAGAAGATCATTCTTCACGGAGCATTCCTCCTCAACAAGCTGATCCTCCTCCTTAACATGATCATCCTCCTCCTCAACATGATCATTCTTAATAGGGCATTTCTTTCGTATGCAATGAAGGTTGAAGCATCCTGTAAACAAGTGAGAAATGTAGCATAGCATTATCACATATTGATTCACAGAATACTGCAAGGAGTTATCTGGTTACTAGTACAAGAGATAATTATTTAGGGATAAAATGTGGGATTATTTTATCCCACATTTAGTTGAATTTTCTTTAATTCCGATAAGCAATCCCGGGGATAATTTATGCCAAAATTATGGTATTATTTATACCAAAATTATGGTATTACTTCTTTATTACATGCGGAACGAACAATTCCAGAATAACTAATTCCAAAATAAAAATAACAAATGATACATATGCTCTTCTCCCAAAGTCTTTCGAGAAAGTCAAGGTTAAAATTAGAAATAAAAGTTTCTCCAAGTTTATCTAATATAAAACTGAATACGTGCTTTATATTACACGTTGTATATCCCATTTTTAGTCCAATGATCAAAACATCTATCAATAATCGTATACCTACTAAATAATCTCGTCATTATTTAACCGGGTATTACTTGTTCACAAACCAAACACAACCCTTTAGAAATAAAGATATTATATCATCTGAACAGTAACCCCTGTGATTGTTTACTCTCTTATAGAAACCGGTGGAGATGAAATACCAAGAAAGAGCTAATTGCAATCCATAGCAAGAGCAACTTTTCTGTTTCGAAAGTTTATCTATTCCACAAAAATTGCTTATTTGAATCCATGCCTCCATTACCCGCCAATCGAAACAAACAATCAATAATGATAAAAATGCTATTATAAAAACTCATATATCCTTCTGCCTTTGTAAAATAGTATAGGGCTTCCGATGAAGTAACAAACAAAAATCCTAGAAAAGCAAATACATCAGCCTGATTTAAAAGAAAATGCAGATCACAATTTTTATAAACATCATATATAGATGTAAGATACTCACCATAGCGAGGCATTATGTTTTTCCAGTTAGAAGTGGCGAAAGGGAAAGAGAATACTAGGAATTTTTTTGCTGAAGAGTAAAATTGTGGTCAATTTAATCGCAAGGAAGGCGGGATTCTGCAAGGTAACTACGTGGAACTTTCCAATGCCAAAATTTGCCATTAATTGAACAAATCAGGTAGCTTTTATATTAGGATACTGATAAAATATCAAAACCTTATATTTATAGGAAAATTTTCGTTCCTATACCATATAGGAAACTATATTACCAAATATGTTCATAGTATGAAAATTACCCATCATGTTAATAGTTTTTCTACAAAAAATAGACAATTCATTAAATAAGGAATCATTGTAGCTGTAGGTTTCCTTATTTAGGCGCGCTAAAATTGGGGAAGTAAATATTCTTCCAAATATTTTATTAAATAAGAAATCATTGTAGTTGTAGACGTCCTTATTTAGGCACGCTAATATTGGGAATTCATTAATTAATTGTCTGGTTTCAATGGATTCGATCTCATCTTTTAAAAATATTTAATTACTTGGAACTCAACTGAAAGAATTAAAAATATACAAGTTGTTCTAGGCTGTCAACACTTACGTCTAACATAACAATATTGCAGATGCGTGTTAGCAAGAAAAAGGTGGATGATTTAGTACTGTTTTGGACAAAAGTATGTATCTAAAATGTGAAACATACATTTCAGGGGAAGCATGTCGCGTCCAAATATGTACCCAGTTTGTAGATATTTTGTAGATAAATTGTAGATTATTTGTATTCTAATTGTAGATGCTTTATTTTCTGTTTTTTTTTTCAAATAAAAAACGACTAAAACTTCTATAAATCTTCTGAAAAAACGCAAGTATGCTATAATTGAATGAGAATTGGGATATTAAAATTCAATGTACCTAGTTTGTAGATATTTTGTAGATAAATTAGATTATTTGTATTCTGATTGTAGATAATTTGTTTTCTGTTTTCACAAATAAAAAACGACTAAAACTTCTACAAATCTTCTGCAAAAAAAGCAATTATGTCGAAAATCCCGATCATGCTACAATTGAATGAGAATTGGGATATTAAAATTCAATGTACCCAGTTTATAGATATTTTGTAGATAAATTGTAGATTATTTGTATTCTGATTGTAGATGCTTTGTTTTCTGTTTTCACAAATCAAAAACGACTAAAACTTCTACAAATCTTCTGTAAAAAAAACGCAATTATGTCGAAAATCCCAATTATGCTACAATTCTGTGATTCTCCTATATGCTCTTGTTACTCCTTACGGAACTGCTATGCTAAATATGAAATCCAAAAAAACATGATGAAAGGATAGATCTTCCTAAGCAAAATCCTCCAATGAACTGTTACAAGAAAATTGACTTTTGCCAACAATTGAAGCATCAAAAGAAAAAGATATGTTCGAGCTCAGAACATATTGAGAATCAAACTATGAGAGATAAACCTTAATGTGAAGGAACCCGAAATCATAATCATCCAATCGACCAGGCTTGTGCTCATCTTTCCCGGGCACAAAAACATTGTGACAAGATTGCAGAGGTGCCGACAGTGCCTTGGCTATGGAAGAAATAATAGGATTTTGATACGGAAATCGTGGGCGTGGCAGGAAAACGTGGGTGAAGGTGTGGGAATTGGAGAGAGAAACGTGGGGGGAGTGGTATTAGAAGGAATATACGGTACCATTAAATTAGGAGTGTAAATAATACCCTTAAAACTCACTAATGATATATAATTGATAATTAGGTATATTAAATGTAATTATATCAAACCTTAAATATTGAGGGTAATATAGTTTCCTATATGGCATAGGAATATAAAATTCCTTATACTAATAGATCATTTGATATCCAAGATTGCCTTTTTTATTCTCTTAATTTATTCCACAGTAAAATGAGAAATGACCCTTTTAATACATTTTATGGAAATCAATAAATAATCAAATATTTTTTTATCATAAAATAATTTAAATTAAATTACCCTAAAATATCAACTTGGTCGAAAAATACATAATTTGACCAAAAGATTATGTGAGTCCTAATTATTTAATAGGATATCTTTATCAACCAAAATCTTGATAGCGACATCATTAGTAATTTCACCTTCATAAAAACCAATAGGGTAAAAGTCAATCTCTTTTGTATAAAAAAAATTGAATCCCCTTGAAATAAATTTTAAAAAGTGTTTTTAGTGAAGTGGCAAAAATGGTTTAAAAAATGGTTCATAACTTCATGTGTATGTGGAGATATTCTGTTTATTTATTCAAAAGTAAAATGAGAAATGACCCTTTTTTTTTTTCACTTTTTGTGGAAAACATCAAAGAAGCAAATGTTTTTATTATTATAAAATAACTATTTTAAGAAGTGCCGCACGTTCTTGAATCAGACTAAAAATGTCATATATAAAATGAAACACATGAGATCATATAAAATTCTTATAATCAAAGCCTAGATAACTAAAAATAAACCTGTCCCGAAAATACATATTTTGACCGGAAAAATCTGACGTGGCTCGAATATCTTTCAGAAACGTAATACTCAAAGGTAAAACAAACCATCACAAATTTGGAGACCACCAATTTCATAGGATACGCTAATTACTTCCTCAAACTTTTCCGTTTGACGGTCGAGGCAAAGAGAAACTAGAAATAGCGAATCAAAGAAAAAGGAGGTCAACGGCGCTGTTAAATTTCTCAAAAGAGCAAGATAGAGCTTTTTATGTTGCAACTCAGAAGATTAAAATGGTGGTCTTATTTTTAATATATGGTGAAATATGGCAACTAATTTTACGATTTTTGGCCTTTATTACACTAATAAAGAGTTGAAACAAGTAATTGAACTTCCCCATTTGGAAAAAAACCCTAACCCTAGCTGAGTCGCCACCACCTCTTCATCTCTCTCACCCTCTCATCTTCAACAAGAGAACCAAACGAACCTTACTCTCCCATAGACGAACCCCAGCGGCGGCGCCTCACATCTCCCATATACATACCCTTTCACCTTAGGGTTTAAACCACCTATTGACCCTGTTATTCTTGAGTTCTGTCATTTCTTCGATGTTTGTTTCGGTCAAATTGGCCCAATCATATGGAGGGCTGTTACCTGTTTGAGGCATTTGACTAACACAACCGGTGTTCCCTTTACTTTCCCTCATTTGATTCATCTTTACTCTCCTAGACTCTTTCGCAATGGTGTTTTTACACTAGTAACCAGGAGCAAGAGAGTTTTGGTGAGCCCTGAAGATGATAAAGACCGTGGCTGGTATGTCAGGTTTATTGCTGCCCCACTGTTGATTTAGTGGGTGATGATAATGTTCCCTTACCTGAGAAATGGAATTTTGCACGTAAGTCTTTTAACTTTCTCGTGCCTTTTTTCTTCAAGTTTGTCAATTTTTCTAATTTTGCTTTTCTTTTTTTAGCAACCATGAGAGTTGTGGAAGATGTTCCCAATTTTCGTGAGTGGGTAGACAAGTTACTGAAGACCGCACCAATGGATGGTAGGTCTTGGAAGACACTTTCTAACCGATTTGGTAGGAAAGTAATAACTCATGGTAAGAGCTTTTATTTTATTTCATCTTTCATGTATATTTTTTTATTGCACTAATTTCAATTCTTCTTTTTATCAGGATTTTCTATTCGAGGAGTCACTGTCGAGGCAGTCACGGCTTCCCACATCTCTTTGGAAATGGCTCAAGAAATAATCTTGGGTTCTTCAGCAAAAAGAAAAGCCGTTGAGGAACAAGACTCTGAAGAAGAGGAAGACAGAGACTCTTTGGTGACGAGGCCACGAGCTCGAAGACACATCATTTCTGATGATGAAGCAGAGGCATCCCATCATCATTCTGTTCCTCTTACCGAGTCTGTTGAAACCCCCGTAGTGATTCCCGATGATGACGTTGATCCCGCTGCTGCTCATGACTCTGTTGAGCAACTTTTTATTAGCGGGTTTGGTAGTGAAGGCTTAGGCCCAGTTTTGGATGAAACACCCTTAGCTTCGTTTTCGACACCCGTGTCTGTAACTCCTTCTTTGCCAGTCTCGGTTGTTTCTATTCCTCCCCAAACTATCTTTACCACTTCTTCTTTCCCTCCTTCGACAATACCTCCTCCAATTATTCAACGTACTGAAGTTGGCTCCTCAAGTAGGAGTGATGCTATGAGGAGGGTAGTCATTGAAGTTCCTGCTGAGAGCAGTCTTTTAAGGAAATCAGGTCAAGCAGATGTATGGCTTGAACCCTTAATTGGCCCAATCGAAAAGCCAAGCTGCAAAGCCATAGTTCCTTGACTTTGATGAATGATATTGTGCACGCTTCTTTGAAGGTATTCCTTTTTTTCCCTTTACTTTGTAGTTTTGCTATCTTTGGGATTCTTATTTCCCTATCTTTTTTTAGGCCAAACTTATCGGCACAGAAATGATGAAAAGAATCACCCTCACAGAGCAGTTGGTGCGTGATTCTTAATTAGAGGCATGCAATTGGAAGGAACAGTACGAAAGCTTGTAAATTGATGTGGAGTATTAAGAAGAGAGTAAGAGTACCTTAGAGCAGCAGGTACATGCTTTGACTTCAGAGTTGGCAGTTGAAAAGGCTTCTTCAAGCCAAGCAGATAAAGAAAAAGCTCGACTTGAAACTTCCTTCTCAAAACAGCTATCCAAGGCTAGTGAAGAAATCAGAGAGTTGAAGTCTCTCTTGAGTAAAAAAAAGGCTTACGCTGGGGAGCTCGTGCAGAATTTGACTCAGGCACAAGAAAACCTTCGAGCTTCTTCTGATAAGATGCGTGCTTTAGAAAGCTCCCATGCCTCTTTTCAAACTTCTTACACATCTGCTTGGCTGAAAATGAGAAGTTAAAGAATGAAATTGCTGACTCGGAAAGGGATTACGGGATCCTTGAGGACAAGTCCGCTATTGAGGTGAGTTGGGCATTCTTGAATTCTCGCCGTGATACCCTAATTGAAGCTAGCCAGGAGAACTTCAACCTGGAATTTGAGTTAGCTAAAATCAATGAAACTATTGAGAAAGCTCAGCAAACTCAAGAT